CTCAATTCGTCTTTTCCTGGCTCAGTTCCAAGCTGACATAAGTGAAGGCTGTGCATTACCTAATCGAAAACGCTGTTTTTCGGCACCCTAAACATCAAGAAATCTGGTAAAATTTCGTTATCAAGACTTTTTGTCAGAGAGTTTTTTCTCAGGAAAAATTTATTTTAGTTACTAAAGTGCATAAGATACTAATATATCAAAGACGAAATATGAGGAGTGGTAGTACCAACAACCTTGCAGTCCCATTTTTGCAGGCCACGAGCAATTAAACCAATGCAGCATTCACCAAAACAAAACCCAATAGCATCTTACTACTTGGTGGTCGACCCCTCGTCTTCTTCTGAATTCTCACAGACAACGCCTGTTTTCGCGCCTTGTGACGTCTCTGCGATGATTTCTTGGTTTGCGTCCAAGTCGTCGAAGAAATACCGGGCATATAATCTCGATGGGACAATGCCATACGCAGTAACTTAAGCTCAACTCGCTTGAATGATGTAGTTTGAGATACTCTCTGAATACCAAGGGCTTCTGTCAATTGCTTCTAAAGATGAGATAACTTGTTGTCTTGATAACGATAAGCTCAGCATTCTGCAGTTTGGAAAAATTATCGGGACTACCCGTTCTTCAGCAATAGAACCTGTTGTCACTTCAATTGCAGATACAGAAGTAACTCATCAACTTGGCATGGAGTATAGTTGTTGGTGCGTTGAGTTACCATTTTTTTGTTCATCACATCGTGCCGGATGATAATCTGCTTTTTGGCCACAGGTGAGCGTTTCATCAAATGTCGTAGTTTTTTCTCCTGTTCCCAGTGTTTGGTTTCTAAAAGAGGCAGAACGGGGACTGCGTATATCTTCAACTCCGTCTCTTTCCATTCCTACCGTTCGAGTTGGTTCAGTCTGTGAAAAAACTGCCAGGCAGCTACTATCATTGCCTTATTAAAATTCTTCAAACACTAGTGACATTATATCTAAGAAGATGGTAACACTTGTTGAAACATTTATAGCTCTGTTAAAAACCTATAGAAAGTTTTTGCACAGTTCACGTGTTGATTTCTGTTTGGTCAGAAGCAGATTATTTTTATAAGTTATTGCTGAAATTATTAGAAGTTCACAAAAAAATTTAATAAAACTTTTGAAATGTTAATTGTTTCGTTTTCTGACATTTTGTGCATCATCCGGATTAAAGATTTTTGCAAACATACAAAAAAGATCCATGATCAAAGAAGCGACAAGCAGTTATTTTAAATTGTTTCTAAATTTTTTTTACAAATGGAGGAGTTCTAGTGTTTTTGATATTGATTTTACTTGGAGGTTAAATATTACTGAAAAAGAATTTTAAAAAAAATCTTTTTTCAAAAAATTTTTTCTTTGCTTTGAATTACGTTCATAAAAAGCCCTACCAAGCATTGAGAATCAATAAACGAGCAGCAGTTAAGGAGATAAAATCAGGTCGACCATCTTTCAGCCGAAACGAAACTGTCGTCCTAAAAAAAATTTGAACTATCAAACTTTAATACTCTAAATTTTTTCAACCCATCCTTACTGAAACATGCAAAAGCATTTAAAACTCCCGCTTGAATCTTTCTAAATTAACTACTTAAAAAACAATTTTTAACTGAAGGGAAAAAATCGATAAAAAAAATTTTAAGCAATGGAAATAAAATGCTGGAAAAACGTTCCATTCAATATAATTCCAGTTGAAAAAAAACAGAAAATCTGCCAACAGCAATTAACAAAACAATCAAAAATCCAAAAAAATATACTTTTCCCTCATTGAAAACGACTAAAAAACTGATTACGACCTAAGATGATCTAAGAAGTGAAGAGAAGTAGTTTCATTTGAATTTTATAAAGTTTGAGCAAATCAGCCTCTTCGTTAAAAGATATATGTGCATGCAGTCATTTTTGTTTGCAGAAAATGTTAGAAAAGTTGTTTACGGGGGAAAACTGTTGCTCTCGGTTGCAAGTTACTTGCTCTCGCAAGTGAAAAGGAGTGAGTTCCACATCACTTTTTGTGAAATACGCGCGTTTTTTACATCAATTTTTGTTCTTCGGCTACTATCGTCCAGCGTGAATGCATTTCAGCCTTCTCAAGACCAAGTTCGAATAAAGAACTATAAACAAAGACAAATAACTCAGTGCACACTATAATTACGGCATATATCAGCTGCCTCTTCATTAAACGATTATGTTCAAAACAAAGATATTCAAAATTCAGACTAGTTGCGTACTTCTTAAAAAACACTGGGCAACATTGAAAACTTAACACTAAGTTTGCGATTGAAGATAGCCCTATTAAGTTTGATGGTGTACTCATATTGGTATCTTACTGAAAGTACTTAAAGTGGGGAAGAAAGATTCGAAACCTCCCCGGTTCGTTCCTTAAACTTTTGTAATCAGGTGTAACTCCACCTCTCGGAAATTTACCTGGGCATGATAGAAACACGAGAGGTTGGGTTGTGCCAAGCGGAGTAAATTTATAAGAGTCAAGTCCACAGTCAGATATTCATCTGACCCTTTTCTAGTGCTATCTACCAGGACATATGTAACGCATATACCATGGGGACTGACTGAGTAATCTGCGATAGGAATTAGGACTACTGCTTCATAATTGGGAACGTGGAACTATGGATAGGTTGTTTTTCTACGAGCAGTAGTGAACGGGTATTTACGTGGTAGCTATAGGTTTAGTGGTAGTTGTGTGGTCGTGCGTCGACGGAAATTAGGTGTAGGCGCGAAACTATTGGCGGGGGAGTTGAAAGATAGTTCAAAAGTGATACTTACCAATTCAGATAGCTAATTTTATCCTCATGCTATTTTGAATGTCACCAATTTTGATAAGATAAGATCAAAAATTACCAATTTTGACAAATGTGCGCGAAATTAACAAAATTGAGACCTGTCCTGGGTGCGGACCGGGCGGTCCCCGGCGGTGAAAATGGGGACAAGCGACTTTCTTGTTCTTTTTCTATTTCCCGAGTTTTCGACGGGCATCATTAGGGTCTGGCATATGTTCGCTCGCGTTTTATGCGATAGATGATACATCGGAACGGTGTCTAGGATGACCATTCGCTCTTCCTTACATTTGGTGCAGGTTACGGTGACATCTTGGCAGTAAACTCGTAAGTTTTTTGCGCGGTATTGCGCGAGACACTTTTGCTGTAAGACCTTGCAGTCGCCAGTGTGGTCTAAATCTGCCTCATGAATACGACGAAGGGTATCTTCACACAAAACATCAGTGGTTGCTCTATTGAAATATAAGTGAAAATTTTTACTGATTTTGGAAATTCCCCAGATACAAAATTGTTTGTACCATTTTAAGGCGTACCATCTTATGCACGAAAACATGCTACAACCTGTTGCCTCGAAAAAAAAACATTTTTTATCAGGTTGAGTTGTTTTCGAGAAGTCAACTTTCAAAAAACGGACAAGAAATAAAAACATCGACATTACTGCAGGCCATAGTTTTTTTAAAGATAATCTGGACGTGAGCGTTTACACAATGAATTTTTGCTCAGCTATTTCTGTTTTAATTGAGCCCAAAATCTCAGATTTGGAATGGTAGTTTTCGAGACAAGTCAAAAAACGGCAAGAAACTTTCAAGAAACCAAAAATTTGACATAACCGAGGGTCATAACTTTTTGTGCAAAAAAAACTGAGCGTTACCATTTTATGCAACCAGGGGAGCTTCCCACAACCCTTTTTACCCAATGGAACCAAAACCTCAGATTTGGAAGAGTAGTTTTTGAGAAAACTCAAAACTTTCAAAAAAGGTTAAGAAAATCGAAAATTGACGTTTTTGAGGGCCATAAATTTTGTATTTAAAAACTTGGGCGTAGCTGCTAATGCAGGGGAACTTCCTACAATCTGTTCTATCCATTGAATTCATAATTTCAGATTTGGGAAGGTAGTTTTGAGAAAAATGTCAAAAATCCAGAAATTTAGGTCAAAGTTCCCGCCACACTCTCTTTCGAAGGCTGCAGAAAGTGGAGTAAGATAAAAACAGCCTAGGGCCAGGGGCGGATTTAGGGATGTGGCGGACGCCTTTCCCCCTCAGGGATTCGACCCCCTGCCGACCCGATGGGTCCCCCCTTTGGTACTTTTTAAGAAATCCATTTTCGGCCGATTGACCCAAAAATTTTTCTAAAGGAGCCTTGGGCGCCAAAATATTCTAATTTTGAGGGGAAGCGCGCGCCGAAAAAAAAGCAATTTTTTGGTCAAAATTTTCCAAAAAGTGCCTAAAAACGCCTTTTTTGGACTGTTTTTTCAAATTTTTGCCTAAAAAGGGACCAAACCATGCTTAGGGAGAGCTCAAAAATCAATTCGGTTGACCTAAAAAAAAATTCGACAAAATTTCGAGAAAATCCTAGATCCGCCCCTGCCTAGGGCATTACACATACACACAGCGCAGTGGGCGGATTTTTTAAAAACCCCGATAGAATAACTTTTGAGAAAAACTAAATTTTTTGAAATACGAAAAAAAATTTCCAAAGCGTCTCAAAAAATTCTTAAATTAAAAAAACCAGATCCCATACATTTTCATAATACCTGTTCTTATCAAACAAAAATTATGGAAAAATTTTGGTTTTCTTATTTAGTTTACTGGTTAAGTTGTTACCGTGTGTTTTGAGTGAAAATCGAGGTTTGCTTAGCTGAAGTTAATTTTAACCAACCAGATGCGAGCAGTTTGATCCAGTTTTAAAAAAAAAAATGACAAGCTTTGGGGCCATGTAATAGAAAACACCAGGAAAAACTAAATGGATCTACTTAAACTAATCCCTCCCCCGCCCACCCCATGGTATCTACTAAAGAATCTCCATCCCCATAAGCAAACAGTGAATTAGCACTAGAGCGTTCTATTTATAATTCAAATTTTGCTGCATTATGATTTGTCGAAAATTCTACTAACTTAATTTAGTTAACAATTACATCCCCTTCTTGAAAGGGGAGGGGGTAAGTGTTAATTAGAGTAGGTTTGTGTTAAATAAATCAACTTACACTAATCCGCCCCCTGTGGCATAACACATGGTCAGACACAGCAGCACCAGAAACTCACCAAACTCCCATTTGGTCGCCATCTCTCCTTCTGCTCGTAAGGCTCCGACTGTTTCAAATAAATGCGAATTTTCGAGGATTATTAATAAATATGATTTTTGAGTTTTAAAATAAATGTAAAATGAATGTAATAGTTATCAGAAATATCAGTTATAATGAGTAGCAAAAAGTTAAGGAAGAGCCGTCTACCAATTTTGAGAAATTATTGAATGCAATTTTGAATTTTTGGGTAATCTTGAGTCCTTACTTTTGGACTGAAAATTAATTTTTTTTCCGGCTGTTTTTTTGCTTGAATAGGTCAATTACTATTTTCAGATAGTCTGCTCCAATTTTTTCCAACTCTACATTAGTCGAGTTTTGATTTTTAAATTAATTGTTACAAGATAGGCAACAAGAATAAGTTGTAGTTTTTACAAATTTATCTTTATTTTTGGACATAGTTCTGACCTTGAAAAAACAATCGAATTGTCAAAACTGTAATAATACAAACAGGATTGCGTTTTTTCGGTGACGTCCATTTTTTGCCTAATGTCAGGACTGCAATCGAAAAAAATTCATTCAATTACGATCTGCCCATGCTTTTCTTCAGAGGCAGAAAACAGATAAAACAGGGCGACAAAAAGGCAAACGCGAAACTTCAAAGATTTATTTAAATTTAGTTGAAGCTTGGAGGTCAAAATTATTTCAATGTTTGAAACGTATATAAAAAATTGGAAATCGATAAAATGTTAGAAACTAACAATCAGAAATAACAATTATACATAAAATAAATTTTTAGCATAATATTTTGCATGCAGTTTTGATGCTTCGAATATCCTTTAGTCAAAATTAGAATGACCTTGAATCAAATTTGACCTTGAGACTTCTTTTGTGTCTGATAAAATTCTGCATGGAAATTTTGATTCTTTTAATTCATTTTGTTCATTCCAACTTTTACTTTTTATTCACTGAGTTCCAAGAGTTTCAACAGTTTCAAAAAAATAGCAATTTATTTAATTCAGAAACTTCTTGGATCCAAAAATTGATATTTCAGACTAAAGTTATGTCTGAGGGTCGCCTGAAAATTCAAATTTGCATGCAAATCAGTTGATACAATATAATTTCATTAAACCTTATGAACTTACAGAACAAAGAAGGTACTCAAAGCGCTCTTACAAGGTAGTAATGAAGGATCGATTGAACTATTGCCCTACAATCGCGCGTTTATTAAATTTAGAGATTTGAAACGTCGCTGAAAAGACCGTTTAGGACTGGCTAGCTATGCCAAATGATACGATTGTAACTCCGACTTTGAGATGCCAAACATATGATTTCGAATCTGAATTTATCTTGAATGACTGAAACGATCTTGCGACCGGTGATTTTAGCAAACAGAGATTTTGAACCCTATGGGAATTTTATTTCATTCATTTTGACTGAAAATGTAACTAAACTATTTGTTTATCAATCGACTGAGGTTGAATTTTGTTTTTCAACAAATTTTCTCTTTTCGTTTGACAAGAGGTCAAAAACCGGGTGCAAGGCGACTTATATTTGATGAGAGCATATATAAATGTCAATGCTATGGTAAGAATGGAACGCAGGATCTGGTGATTTTCGCTGGGTTCAAGAAATCAGGGTTTGTGATTTTAAGGAAAACTCATCTCGAAATTGCAAATAAACAAAGTGACAATCATGATGACAAACAAGCTTCTCAAATAAGTTCGGTTGAAACAAACTAAATAGAGGGGTGAGAATAAGAAAAGCGGTCAAGGAGAGTTTTCTCGAGATGTTTCAACAAACAAAAAAACACAGCCAAAACAAGAAAAATCCTCAGCTCCACGTTGTTCAGCTCACATGCGTTATCAGCAAGCATTTTTCTTGCTCTTAAAAAAGCGGTGCACCCCACCCAACCAAGTTTTTATCATAAACTACATAAGAGGAGCGACAAAAATTTAACATCTCGTTCAGATATACTTATTTTTATAGTTGTGAACATTTTTCACTACACGTAACTCGAAATTCTGCAGGATTCGCCAATATCAGTTAAACCTATTACAAAAAAGTCTCCTGGTTTGATCGTGTTCTACTAAATCTATATTAATGCTTTCTTTGCAGCTTGATGAATTTTTTTGCCAAAACGCTAGAATTAATCGACTGCTTGTCATCACCAATGTAATAATGAATAAAACACTTGAGTTTTGAGTTTGTTGATATCGGATATTCAAAATCAATGCATTGAATATAATATACCAGAACTGGAGTTTCATAGATAATAATCGATTATATTGTCAATTTATAGTCAGTATGTTAAATTACAAAAGTAATCGATTAGATTCCATTAAAAACGGATTATAATCCTGTTATTTTTGTATCAAAAAATCCATTATAATTAATTAAATCGATTATAATCCATTAAAATGGATTATAATCCTAATATTTTTTATATCAATATAATCTATTATAATTAATTATTATCGACTATAATCCATTATAAATTTATTATAATCCTAATATATTTTATATCAAAATAATCCATTGCAATATTAATGGATGTTTTGAGACGTTATTGGTGAATTTTGTAAGTTTTTCAAGTTACCTCACTTCCTGTTTAGTGGTGTTGCTACGAATAACGTTTCATAAAATTAAATTTTTCACATAAGCTTTTAATCGTTTAATTTTCTCTTTTTCAATTTGGCAGTTTAACAGTTTATTTAACTGTTATTTTTTTACCAAAAGCTAATCGCCCACTAAAAATGCCAATCACCCACTACCCATCCGCGCCGCCTACTGCCCCTTCCCGGGGGATGATTCTACGGGGGAGGGGTTCTACGGGGGGGGGGGGGGGAGAGATGGTAGGGGAACACCTGGCACATGCATAAGCGTGCGTTTAAGGCCGTGAAACGCTTGCTTATGCATCTCCCATGTCCCAGGTCTTCAAGTCTTCCTCCACCATTTTTTCAGAAAAAAAATCAATTAGTTCATAAGTTGATTTTTCTCGAAATATGGTGGTTGAAGACCTGATACATTCATAAACGCTGGTTTCAGGGATTGAAGTATTTAAACAATATGTAATTGTGCAAATTTCTTATCCACATGTTTCAAGAGTTTAATTACCTTTAAACAATTTTCTGCAGAAAAAAATATCAATTTTCATGGATTTTTGTGGCCTAAAAAATTATTTATATGGTAAAAATAATCGATTATCATGGATTTTTTAATATTGAAAAAAGTCGATTATAATCCCTAAAAATCAATTTTCATGGTTGAATGGGTCAAGAAAATTGATTATATGGGTTAAATATAATCCACTCCATGAAACTCCAGTGCGGGTAGCTAAAAATTCGGGACTTATCAGAGCTGAAAAACTGCAGGATATTCTTTTCTCCCCAAATGTTCAGTGGTAGCACAAGAACATACTTTATAAAACACTGCATAAGCTAACAGCACAGAAAAATTTTGAAAGTATCAGGGAAAACGATTTTTTTTCTAATTTTTTTCTTTACAAGCGTAATAATTTCATGATTTCAAACTTGAAACATTACACTTGTCCAAAAATTCTCTTTTTTGAAAATGACGAAGTAGAGATCTGAAAGGGAAGCAATTGCCTCGAAAATTTGGAAATTTTCAAATGTTCGACAGGCAAAAATTCTTGACTGAGCAGAAACAAAAATAATTGTGAGTCTGGCTTCAGGATTTTGAACATTTTGGTGTTAGGTTCATTTCTATTCAACCAAAACTATAAAGCTAAAATACAATCTTAGTTGAATTCTTAAGACTCAGCTGGCCAATTTATACAACAAGCCGGATTATTTGATTTTTTTTAAATTGATGATAAAGAATCATAAACACCAAAATCATAGTTTGGAGATGTATTAATTCCAATACTTTCTAGTTTATCTTTATTAATAATTTTTGTAATATTTTTGAACATAGTTCATGCAATTTTCATCAATTTAAACTAAAAGGTAAGCTGCTGGCAATTTGATACAGTTTAGTTGGTTACATTAAACATTCAACAAATATATGATCGAAAAGAGATCTGCTAAAACACAGATCTGCTAGATCTGTTTTTTTTTTATTATCAGTCTTTGATGAACCACAAAACTTTTAGTTTTCGGTTTGGTTAGAAATTGCAACATTATCAGCATTATTTAACAAGTTTTCTAGATTTTTTAAAAAAACTTGGACTCAAAAAATGTTGAAAATCTTACCACCAGTTGATTCAATAATTGGTGATATAATTCGTTGATTCGCTTGAAATACGCTCTCTCGTTTTTTATTTATTCTAACTCAATTTTCAAACATTGCCTTGTTCCAAATCTGTGCTCATGCTTTCTTTGTCAATTGACTGATTTACTCTTTTGTTTATTTACGCTTTGTTCGACCGCTTGTGATCTTCAAGGTAAAATCAAAATTAATAAAAATTTCATTAAGTTGACAGTTTTGGTTTCTGGGTGCTTTGCAAAAAAGCACAACTACAAGGTTGAGTTTTAACAGTGTGACAAAACTGCAGTATATTCTTTTCTTCATACCAAAATCTTTAGGCCGTTAAGTTTTTGTAGCAAGTGTTAAAGTATTATTCATGCAGTTAGTTGGAGCAGTAATCGAAAAAATGAGGCTAGGTCTTTTACCAGACTGACCTTTTTCCAGATCGACTTTTTACCAGACCACAATGCAATGACTCAATTATTACAAGTTAAAATTAGTGTAAGATTTGAAAAGGATGCGGTTAGAACAAACAAAACTTCGCTGAGAAACAGTGAAATCATTGTCTTTAACCACACTAAATGGCGGCATTACATCTGTCAATCAAATTTGTTTATCGAGCCTGTTAAAAGATCTATGTTTTGACTTTTCTGGTTAAAAGTTAGTCTGGTAAAAAGTCGGTCCGCGAAAAAAATATGCTGAATAAAATCATGCCAAATCTCACCAAAACGAAATACCTGAAGAAATGTATACAAATTTGGATTTTTTTTCTGACTCATCAAACCTGGCACATCACGCTGGTCCAAAAAATCAAAGTTTACAATACCACAATGAAGAAGACTTAGAAAAAAGTGTTTGCATTGTGAGCCTGAATTTGGGAAATTTGATTTTTTTTTCTAAAATCAAATAGACCATGTCATCAAGTTGCCGGCATTCAATTTCAAGCGTTAATAATCATTTTTTTAAAATTTAATACCAGTTTCACTAAAGTTGAGAAAAAATTGATTTTAATCAGTTATTAATCGACTATAATCTCTCTTTTTGATATTCAAATCATAATCAATCATAATACATTTTAATCGATTTCAATTGATTAGTGATCCGTCAATTTGTTGATACAATTATAATCGATCATGATACAGTTTAATCGGTTATTTTTATCCCAGTTTCTAATTCATATGTTGCGGAAAAAAAATTAAATTAAATCGATTGTAACCGATTATAATCCCTTTTGTTAGCGCAATTTGTCTTCGACCTTGCATCCGAATGGCTTATTTTTTATGCTTTTGGTAGACGTTGACTTGTCTGAAAATTGAGAGAATTACTTTAAACGTTATCAAATCAATTCAATTTTATATATATTTTAGTTTTGCTCTTTTTTTGTTGAAGTTGGTTCATGATACACATCTTATGTTTTTTAACCACCAAAATATCCGCACATTGCTTTAGTTTTATGATTTACTCCAACTACGGGAACCTTCCAACTAATACGAAAAGATCTTTATGAAATTTTTGCTTCGTGGTAAAAATTTGTGTTCAGATGAACCAAAGTGGGATAAGACATCTCGTTTTTAGAGATTTTGTTATTGATAGAAAAATAAAAACCCTGGAGATATAATTAAATTGTTCTTTTAGTGTTGATTTTAAGTGTTTTTTGTATGAATTGTAATCACTTATAATCGAGTATAATAGATTATAATCTCTTGGAAAATATCACAATTATAATCGATTATAAATCTTTAAACACCTAATTTTGGTAATTATAATCAATCATGATTGTCAAAAAATTTTCATAATGATTCGTTATAATCGATTGCTTACGCGTAAACTTGAATGCGGGTGGTACAATACGCAGGTCGAAAATTTTAACAGTTTGAGTTGTTTTGACAAAAAGAACTCTGCGAAGAAAAAAAAGTTCTCGCGTTTTGGGAAATTTAGTTTCTTTGGTAGGTAATGAAAATTCACTAAAAGTTATGCTTTTGTTCAGAAAAAAAATTAGGTGAATATTCAGTTAAATCAAATTGTTGATAATAACAAAAAACTAACTTGTTTGTTTTTTTTTAATCGATGAAAACAATCATGAACAAAACTCATTAGTTGGACATATTCTATATTTAGTTGTTTCCAGTTTTTTGTTGCCAGT